TCAACCCTCATGCAAGGAAAATTTGAGATGAGCATGATGGGGGAACTCAACTACTTCCTTGGCCTTCAAATCAAACAGAGAAGTGAAGGCACTCTCATCAATCAAGCTAAATATACAAGGGATCTTATCAAGAAGTTCAAAGTTGATCAGAAGTCATCCGTTTCTGTCCCCATGAGCACATCCACCAAACTTGATATGGATGTAGATGGAAAGGATGTAGATCAAACTCTCTACAGAGGGATTGTCGGATCTCTACTTTACCTTACTGCAAGCCATCCGGATATCTCATATGCAGTAGGTGTTTGTGCCAGATTCCAGTCAAAGCCAAAGGAAAGCCATCTGATAGCAGCTAAAAGGATTCTTAGATACCTCAAAGGAACTCAGAACATGGGTTTGTGGTATGCTAAGAGCAATTCATTTGAGTTAGTGGGATACTCAGATTCTGACTTTGGCAGATGCAAAGTTGACTGGAAAAGTACATCTGGTACTTGTCAATTCATTGGTGGAAATCTTGTTTCTTGGTTCACTAAGAAACAAAACTCCATTTCTACATCTACAGCAGAAGCAGAGTACATTGCAGCTGGTAGTTGTTGTGCTCAAGTTTTGTGGCTAAAGCAACCACTACTGGACTATGGAGTCAAGACAAAGGAAGTGACAATCTTTTGTGACAATCAAAGTGCCATAGCCATCTCTCAAAACCCAGTGCATCATTCTCGCACTAAGCACATTGATGTCAAGCATCACTTCATCAGAGAACATGTGGAAAAGAAAGATATCAAAATTGAGTATATCTCAACTGAAGAACAACTGGCGAATATCTTCACCAAACCACTAAGTGAAGCCAAGTTTTCCAATTTGCTTCACAAAATTGGTCTAATTCAATTAGACTCAATGTAGTGCACGTGGCAGTTCACTTTCCACGTCTGTCAAAATGATGGGTGAGGACGTGGCCTTGGGAACAGTTAAAAAAAATCCAATCGCCACTAGCCGCATAAATCGCCCACATTAAAACCCAATCGCCACTATTCAGATCTCAACCGCCCACTCAAAAATTCTTCGTCATCTTCTTCGCGAAAAATTCTCAAGAACTTGCAAGAACCCTAGGTCTTTGTTTCTCAAATTTTCACCCAGATTTCTGAGAAAATGAAGGTTGTCGGTGCAAATGTCCACTTTCAGAAGTTAGAAGCCATGTTCTCATCCCCAACATTCTTCCAAAGCTATCTGCAGATGATAGCCGCTCAAGAACTCTCCGAATTTCTTCAAATGGAGATTCCCCTCAAATTCGAGGAAGAAGTTCTTGAATTCTACAGAAATGGAGAAATCAAATCTGCTCAGCCAAAGAAAAACCCACAGAGGACATTTCCAGTCATCAAGTCCACTGTTGGAGGTACAAGAGTGAAGCTTTCGCAAAAGAAATTGGGAGAAAAGCTTCGCCTTCCCAATTCTGGAGTTGAAGTTGGAAAATTTCCAGTCAAAAATCTGGACTGGAACATCATTGGAATCTCTGGGCAAGCTCCTTCTGGCCCAGCGAAGAAAGCAGTTCTAAAAACGATTACAAGTTGGTTTTGGAACTGGTCATCGCTTGCCTCGAGTGTGGAAGTGGAGGTCATGCCGATGACATCACCCAGGAGAGAGCCTTCATCATCAACTCTCTCATTACCAAAACTAAGGTAAACTGGGCTGCACACTTTTTCAATTCCATCTCAAAGCATTTGGGAAAGCCCAACCAGAAATATCT